TATTGTGCTTGCGTTGATAAATAGTCAAAATTATTGTCCAATTCGTAATGATGATCGGTCAGATTTAGCCACTAACGAATTGGACAATAATTTTGACTATTTATCAACGCAAGCACAATAACTTATAACTATAATTCTAAAAATCATGTTTAATCAATTATTCGGAATATATATTTCTTAAAATCTTTATCATTATGATATACAACAAATACATTGCTCGCATATGGTGATTATAAATCGAAATATCGAACATCCAATCTATAGGACCTCAAAAATTAATGAGTTAGAATTTTAATACTCACAAATTGTTATTAGAACCGATCTAGTAGATGATGGACCGAAGAGTCGAATAGTAATGAGTTGAAATTTAAGCAATTTGTAGATCTGCTTGGCGTTTATTTCGTAAAATAATTTATCTGTATGAAGAAAAACAATGTGCTTTTTTTTTGTGATAAACAGTAACTAAAGTGAAAGATTTCTGTTTTGGAAATAATCGCTTATTATTATTGGACCTGGGGAGCGCGAAAATTATTTACCGGAAAATCATTAAATTAATCGGCTTATTTTCCATATATTTTAACTATGATCCTAACCAAAATAACAACCCAAATCTTTTTTACATTTTTTTTTTATCTTGGTTACTTTCATGATTAATATCGGTAATACAAAAAAAAATCTAATTCATGATTTTACCAATCACTAAACTAAATGTTTGAAAGAAAAATGACAAATTTGAAACATCAAAGACATTCTAAACTATTTATTTCAAAAAAAGAAAAATAAAAAAAAATAAAGTTGCGAATAACGTTCTTTCCAGTCTTTTCTTTTCTTTTTTTTACAACCACGCAAAACCATTTTCCTCTCTTGTCGCATTATTTTTTTGCATATAATGATTCAGCTAAATCAATAATTACATATTTAACACAATAAAATAATAAAATGTATTTCTCAAATCATATTCGCTCATTAAGTTTCATTCTAATAATTTCGGTACAAAAGGTCTCTTCTCAGCAACTAAATAGAACCTATTCCATAACTTCCGATTATCCATATAATAATAAAACCGGGTTTTATTTGCTAACGATCCTACTTTTAATTTTTCAACAATTGAGCCTTTTAGGTAAAATCCGAGTGAGATTCGGTTGAAAAACTTTCGTCAAAAGATTAATTTTATTTTTTCGTTTATTGCAAAAGGTTGTCTTTACATCTTCTATGGAACATTCCGTCGATGGCGAAATTCGCCGGTAAGCCTTCCAATGGTATTAAAGATTCCGTTCTACTTGGCAGTCACCGGTAAATTTTTTCTTTTTTTGATTTCTTTAGTTGTACATTACAATTTTGTAACCTTTAAATAAAACATTTCCTTCATAGATTTCTTAATATATACCATGAATTTTCCGAACATTGTAAGTAACCATTAACTATTGATTTTTTTAAAAAAAAATGTACGCAAGAGTGCAAAGGTGAAAATCTTTCCTTTACAGTTGTTCTTATTGATTTTCCGCCATCCGTGGCCCGATCCGGTTTGTGGAATAATGGGATTCATGACTTCTTTCTACGCAAGCTTAAACATGATACTACATTTAATGATATCAATTACAACGTATATTAGGTTCGTTATCAATGTTAGTCATATCTTAAACATCCACTTTTAATTGAAATTCCCTAACGATATACTTTTCGCTTTTAAACATGTTGCTTTATAGATTGTGTCATTATGAGAATTTCTCATTAGGTGCATATGATTGGAAGTTTTTGACAATCTTATTCTCAGCTTCGATGGTGTTTGCGGTAATCCCAACGGATAATTATGGAGTGGACGTATGGTGGTGTTCTATCTTGCACGAAAGAAATTCAAAAGCGGCTTATCTGGCTATAATCATCACTATTAGTATTGTCATCATAAATGCTTATTGCTATGTTAGTGTCATGCGACAAATTCATGTGATTGAAGACTCTTTGAATCGTAAATGCGTTATAAAATTTATAATTTACATTTCAATATTCGTGTGTCAATGGTAAGAGGATATCAAAAAGACGTGCAAAACCTTTCTTGGTTCAAAATGTTTATCTTTTTTTTTAAAAAAAATTCATCAGGTTTTTCTCATTCCCTAATCACATTACGCGCTTAATGGAGGCAAGTTTTTTTGAGGGATTTAATATTTAACGAAAAAAAAAAAAAAACTGCTGGCTGACTTAAAATATTTTTCTCGTCACTATAGGATACAGACGTGTGGACTTTTATATTGTATGGGGTATCAATGAACTTTGGAGGAATATTAAATGGTTTGCAATATTACATGGTTGAAGGTTGGCCTTCAAAACAAAATCCAACGCTACCGCGTGTTAAGCATGATTTACACGACGATCAACAACCCATCATGCTTGTTGTACAAGATTCACCTCCCACTTCTATAATATCTCATTCAATATATGTAAAACGATGATTTTCATTTAAATATTTAATTAATTTTTATATGTATTTAATTTAACTACACAGAATCCGATAATTTTAAACCAAGATGGATATCATCCTGGCATCACGACTGCGGGTTCGCTCGATGTTAAGAATTTCATTCATTATTTTATAAAAATTAATAGAACTAATAGAATAATAAAGAGTCGTTCGTGGTGAAAAAATGCGAAATCGATTTTTGTACTAACCGTAAAAAAAATATTTTAAAAAGCATTAAAATTTCCTATAATCATCCGTTCATTATAGGTTAAACAATTGCTATCTTGAATATATTGTAAAAATGTTTTCTTAAAGCATTATAAATTAACATCACGTGCTTGTTTAAATGGTTTGGGTTAAAACAAATTTAGATATTTCTTGGTTTCAAATTTTATTATAGAATACTATATACTACACGTAATACGTTGCGTGTTGGGTTGCTATTACGCTGTCACCAGATATCATTTGAGTTTGAATGTTCTCCAGTAGAATTTTCCGATTATTCGAATGCTTGCCCTTATCTTTTTGTAACGACCGTGAATAAATAATTTTCTGAGAAACATAATTTTAAAGAATGATATTTGTAGTTTTTTGTTGTTAGTAGTAAATAAAAATTGAACTTTTTATATTTACCTTTAATATATCTTATCGTTATAAAATGAGCTATTTTAAAATATAAAAATTATGATAGTATTTAATATTTACTTTTTATTTATTTTGAAATATGTTTCTAAATTTAATGTTTAAATTTTAGATATTAAATAATTTATAATTTATAATAGAATTTATTATATTTACCTTTGTCAATTAAAGTAAATTTTATGTTTCAAATTTGATAAAATTTAATATTTCAAATTAATATTTTTTTTTTATCTTGATTACTTGAAGTAAATTTTATAAAATATGTTTTAAATTTGATAAAATTTAATATTAAAGTAATTTAATAATAAGTAAAAACAGAATATAATTTAACAAATTATTGAATAAAGTATTACATTTACCTTTAATATATACATCTTATAATGCATTCTATATTTCTAATTTTTAATAAATAAGAACTGAATATAACTACTCTGATCGAAATAGTCCAAATTGGCTAGAAATTGGATAGGTTGATTTTAATACTATTTACAGCTGATTTACCATATTTTCCAATCAGTACAAAAATTTGCTAATCGATTCTAATTGGATATGACCATTCAGCATCAATTCAGAACTTAAATTCAACCATAAATCAGCCTAAAATTGATCTCAATTCAGCAATAATTCAGCATCAATTCAGAATTTACAACCATAAATCAACCTAAAATTGGCCTCAATTTAGCATCAATTTGGTCAAATAAGCATATAAAACAATATATTTTATTTATAAATATTAAAATTTATTAATAATAAAACCTAATATAATTCACAAAAACATAAAAAATATTATTAAAACTTACTAATTAATTTTCTATTTAAAAATATAATTAAAAAAGGAAAAATTATATAAAACAACAATATAATAATAAAATATAATCATTTTCCTCTTAAATTGTCCTAAATATTTATTATCATAATATTAATATTTTCAAAAAAAAGAATAAATAATAAAATATGATCTATTTTTCTCTTATAAATCCTTTGAAATTATCTAAAAATGTAAAAATAATAAATAAATAAAAATAAAACATCTATCCTTTCTCACTAAATCATTTAAAATTATTTTTTTCTATTATAAAAGTAAAAATATCAGTTCATTATTTAAAAAGTTGTCTGGTTAATTAATAAAATTTAACTTTTCTTTCAATTTTAATAGTTGAAGGCATATTTTAATTATAAAAAAGTAAAAAAAATCAGTTTATTATTTTAAAAAGTTAACTAAAATTCAACTTAAGTTTTAGCTTTTTCTTCATCTGATTTTGATAATTAAAAGCATATTTTTATTATAAAAAGTAAAAAAATCAGTTTCTTATTTTAAAAAGTTGACTAAAATTCAATTTAAATTTCAGCTGTTTCTTTATCTAATTTTGATAGATAGAGGAATATTTTTATTATAAAAAGTAAAAAATAGTTTATTATTTAAAAGTTGATTGTTTGATTGATAAAATTCAATTTAAGTTTTTTTTTTATTTTTGAGTTGATTTTATTTGGCATTTTGATAGCATGTAAAAAGAAAAAATTTAAAAATGATTGTAAAATATAAAGTTTAAGTTGAATTTATTTTTTAAAAAATGAAAAAATTAAGCTTATTTTATATAAATATTTTTATATATAAGAAGCAATTAATAGAAAAAGTGAAAATCTATAAATTTTGATAATTTTAATTATTAATTATAAGAAAATTTCAGTTTAATCTAAAAGATGAATTCATTAAAATAATAATATATTATTCTAAAAAATACTATAAAAAAATTATTTATTTAAAATGATAATACATCAATCCAAATGAATAATAATAGAATTATTTAATTAGAATGATAATAATTAATTTAAATAAATAATAAAAAAATTTTATCATTTTAAACTAATAATAATAAAATTGTTATTGAAATAATAATATATTGATTTGAACAAATAACAATATAATGTTCAATAAGAATGATAATACATTGATCTAAATAAATAATAAAAAAATTATTCTAAAGAATGATAAAAAAATTATTTCTTAAGAATAAAGATGGTGCTGCAACTAATTGCAACTATGTAATGCTTATTTGTAATCAGTTGCTACTAGTTATAGTACTACCTTTACTTAAGAATAATAAAAAAAATTATTTCTTAGAAATAATAAAAGAATCATTCTGAAGGAATAATAAAAAAATATCATTTCAAAGAAATAATTTTTGTATTATCATTTGATTAAAATAATACAATCATTTCAATTGAATAATTTTATTTTATCATTTAATTGAAATGATACAATTATTCTAATTGAATGATTTTTTGTTTAATTAGAATTAAGGTTGCTTGTTCAAATTTATTTTGGATTTGATAAAATGTCTAAATTATAGTTTTGCTAATTTTTTACTAAGGTTTTGATATAATTTTGCATTTTTATAAGCTTTGATATAGTTTTACCTTTTCTAGAATTTTACAGATTTTTTAATAAGATTTTAATATAATTTTATTAAATTTTACCATTTTCTATTTAGACAATTTGCAAAATCTTTAAGTTTCATCTAGCAACCTTAACTATGGTAAATTTTAAAGTTTCAAATCAAATATTTAAATATAAAATGGTCAAATATTTATTATTTGATCATACTATAAATTTGTAAGTAAAAAATAAAATATCTAATAGTATTATTTTATCAGATTTATTAATCAAAAATCAAGCTAGAGTTTTTATTAAAGTATTTGATGTATAGAAAACTGATTTGATTTTCTAATAGCTGGTTATAAAAATTTAAAAAATATAATAATCTTAGTAAATTTCATATATGTTGAAAATCAAAAAGTGCATCATTTGGTATATCTTTCAGAAAAAAGAATAAAATTATGCTATCTATTAAAATGATTTGATTTTGATCAAATTTCTAATATAGATAAATAAGACTTTATTTTTGAATAGCTCTAAATTAAATATTTTTAACATATCTAATTTTAAATAAAAAAAAGATAAGACTAGAATTACAATTTTTTCAATATTAATGTTATAGAAACTAAAATTATAATTATAAGATATTGATAAATTAAAATATTTTAGACTTTTTTCAAAAGTTAATTTTGAAAAATTTTCAATTTATTATCATAAAAATCTAGAAGTATAAATAAATTCAATCATATTTAAAAAGGTACTTTTAGAAATAAATAAGTATTTTAAAATGCAAAATAAAAAGATTTTACTCTTAGATAATAATATTCTATCATATTTTATTTTATATTATTTTTACTATTTTTAAAGATTAATCAAGATAAAATAATACAGATACAAAAATATCTACATTAGCATTTTCATGAAAATTACAAGAGAATTTTACTAAAATACATAATAAGTTTTTAATTAATTTTTTATATTAATTTTTATATTAAAAAAGCTATTTATTATCAAAGTCACAATTTTTAGATTTTAGAATTTTAGTTTTCTTAAGATAAGTAAAATAAAAATGTTAAATATTTGATAATTTAAAAATTAAATTAATAAAAAATCATATTTTTTTCTTTATAAAAAAAAATCAGATTTTGAGATCATAGTGATATATTAAAAGAATGCTAATCTATTATTATTCAACTTTAATTAATTATATTAAAAATGATTTTCTTATCTTTTAACATAACAAGCTATCTTTAACTACTTAATGCTAAAATATTGTGAGTTTTAAGAATTATTATAAGAGATATTATTATCACTATATATTGAATCTCTTTAAAAATGATAAAGATATTAATAAAGAAAAGATTAATATTAAAAAAAAATTATCAATTAATTATCAGAAACGTAAAATATGTGACTAAAGAAATTATTCATAATTGTTAAAAAATAACTAGAATTTTAATCAATAAAGATATAGCTAACTTATTATGAATTTAATGAGAAAAAATAAATCACAAAGTAGTAATTATAGATTAAATAATTAAAAAACTCAATATAACTAAATTTTATATCAATTTATTAGCAAATGCAGATAAGTTAAATGATTTGTTTTATAATTTATAAAAAGAAATTCTAATTAAATTATTTTAAATAATTTAATATAGTGTGTAAAATTCATATGTATAATATGCACATGTGTATATTAAATTTTTTTGTGCAGCATAAATATGCATAAATAATTACTAAAAAATAGATAAATTATATATAAAAATATATAAATTATTTATAAAAATGAAAATACTATGTAATACATGCATTAATTTTTATTTTAGTACAACTTGTACATATGACTTTTGGTTTAAATTTTATATACTAATTTAATATAATAAAATTTAATCTAAGAAGAAATATGTGATAAAAATGATGAATATGATAATTTTGAAAAAAAATTAATATCAATATCTTTGGTTAATATTGTTACTATGAAATTCTTCAACTCAGGTTAATCACGTTATCAAGTCTCTATTTGAGATTATTAGCTTTAATTTGCTGCAGTAAAGATGTTAGGATCTGCCTAACTCTTAATTTTATTAAATCTATACATTAAACTTAAACAAATCTATCAAGTATAAAAACTTGAAAAATGAGATTACGAATGACTTAATTAAAGAATTCAGATGACGAACTCAATTACAAATAATGTGTAAGAATCATATCAGATTATATAAAGACATAAAAAGGTAGAAAGATATAAGTTTTGAATAATTCCTTCATTAATATTGAAACTCAATTGTTAATCCATAAAAGAGTTTACAAATCTACAAAAGAGTTAATTTACAACATAAGCAAAAAGTTTATCTATTTATACAAAATTTCTTTTATCATAACTAACTATTTATTATGCTATAAACTAATTAATTTGGTAAATAATATAAGAAAAATAAAAATATGTAAAATAATAAAAAAAATATAAAATAAAATTAATAATAAAATTAGAATATTAAAAATAAGCATAACATTAGATACTCTTAGACTTCTTTTAGTTTGTAAAATTAGAATTATCCTCAGTATTTGGAAGATCTGCAGAATTATGTAGATCCTCCATATTTTCAGAATTCGCAGAATTCTCAGTATTTTCAAAATTCTGGATTAGGAGATCATCATATTGCGTCATTCATATAACTTCATTATGATTGGTCAATTGCTCTATTGATAATGTGCTCAAACCTTTATAAAATTAGATCATTTTTTTTTAAATAACAGAAATAAATGAATTTAATATAGAAATATGAAATTTTTAAAAATACTTTAATATTGTTAAATATTTTAAAATTACAGTCTCAAAAATAAGTTTTATGAAAATTAAGAGAAATCATTATAAGAACTGAAAAATGTGATATGATATATCTTTGAAATAAAGTTTTAAAAGTAAAAATCAATATAAAATATAATAATTTTTTTAATAAAACCTAATTTTTGAATTAAAGCATTATTCATCAAGTTTAAATAAATAAGATTAAATTAAATAAGTTAGATTGAATTAATTAAAATAAATTTATTAAAACTAATTAAATCATATTTACTAAAAATTCTAAAAATAAAATTTTTAATTAAATTATAAATCTCTAGATAGTTATTATATGTAATTTTTAATATAATAATAATTGTATAAAGATTTTATTATTATAGTCATATCTTTGTAAAATTACTGAATTTTTAGAACAAATTAATAACTGCATATAATTATATAAAAGTTTAATTGTATATTATATTTTAATAAGTAAATTAATGATAATAAATATAATAATACTAAATTCTTTTATTAATAAAATTTTTTAATTATCTTTAAATATAAAATAATTATTAAATAAATTATTAAAAAGAGTTTTATTTTATAATAAATTACATTAAATATTATTTTAATATTATTTTTAAATATTAAATTTATAAAATGAGATAACTTATCAAAAATATCAAAAAAAAAATGTATTATATTAAAATTATTAATTGTAATAAATAAAATAATTATAAATCATTTATTATGAATTTAAAATAAACAACTTATAATAAATAAAATAAATTTTTTAAAAGAATTAAATATATACAATGACTTTCATAATTATTGTATTACTTCATTTTTAATTTTAGATTGTGATATTTGAATAATTATATGACTATAAGGCTAAAATTTTAAACTAATTTAAAGTCTGTAATCAGATTTTTAATATATTTAAATTTGAGTATTACTTAATTTATGGCTTTTTAAAAAATTTCTTTATATGCAATTTTTTCGTGATACAATACTTTTAGAATCAAAATTAATATAATAAAGTTATGATCATATGACGCATCATATATATATAAGTAAATTTAAATCAGTAGATCAATTTATATACCTTTCTTTTGTTTTTTTTTTTAAATATATTATGAAGGTGATTCTACTTCACCAAAGGAACATATTTTTACCTTATTCAAGAAGGTTTACCAAGTCGTATAATTGTTTTTCATGAAAATATAAGTTATACTTCTATAATAAGAATTAAACAAAGAAAAGAAGAAATAGGCAGCTTTGATGTTATTTCAAAATCTGGCCGCTCAAGAATACTTACAAAACGTCATGATAGGAATATTACCAGGTTTATTAAGTCAGGTGAATATACAAATGCTATTCAAATTCAAAAATCTTTAATTTCCAACGAAAATATTGTTATTTTACCAAATACTATTCAACGCTCATTGAAAAGGCAAGATCTTATAGCTAGAGTTAAAAAAAAAACCATTGCTGCTCAAGAGATATAGAAAAGCATGAAAAAAATTTGCTTAAAAATATAAGAATTAGACTATAGAAGATTAGCGAAAAGTAGTGTGGTCAGATGAGAGTAAATTCTTAATTTTTGGCTCAGATGGGAGAGAATGGTGTTGGAAAGATTCAAATTTACCTTTGCAACCACAGCATATTAAACCAACTGTAAAGTTTAGTAAAGGTTCTGTAATGATATGGGGCTGTATGGGTTCATTTGGCATTGAAAAGTATTGTAAAATTGATGGAAGAATAGATGAAGAGTTATATAGAGAAATTTTGGGAGATGAGTTTTTAGGGACCCTTAGCGTATGTGATTTGAATGTAAATGATATCATTTTCTAACAGAATAATGACCCAAAATATATAGCAAAGAAAACATATAAGTAGTTTGATGACAATAATATTAAAATTATAGATTGGCCAGCACAATCACTGGACTTAAACTCCATTGAACATTTATAAAACAAAATTGATCATCATTTGCGACAGCTTTCTGATAATATTACTAGTGCAGAATATTTGTGAAATAAGATACAATTAATATAGAATCAAATTGATGCTGAATTTTGTTTAAAGCTAATTGATACTATGCCACAATGAGTTAAAAATGTACTTAAGGCTAATGGAAGATATATGAGATAGTGATAGTTTTGTTAAAAAAAAATTAGAGTATAGTTTATTAAAAAAAAATTTGAAAAATTTATATTTTTGATTTTATTTTTATATGCGTCAGAAGTATTATACCATAAAATTTATGGTTATGAAAGAATTTTTTTTTAAAATTATAAATAAAAAGAAATTTGAATTTGAATATATTATAAAAGAAGACTCAGATGATACATTAATTAAATCTGCAAATTGTTCGATCATCAAATTTTTATTTATTACAATCTAAAAATTATAAATGAAGTGGTACAATAATTATGGAAGTCATTGTAAGTATTTATAATAGTTATATTAATTTTTTTTTATTATTATATTTTAAAAACTAGATATTATAAAGTTATATTTATAAAAAGTAAAAAATTTCTTAATATATAAACATGAATTATATGATATATATAGAATTTGAAAAAAAATTTTATAAATTATTTATTACCTTTATGTTTTATATAATGTATAAACATCCTCTATATAAAGTATTATAAAAAGAAATGTAATTATTTAAGATAATGATTAAAGTATATTACATATTATGATGTTAAATATATTAGAGTTAAGTAAGGATTAGAAAAAAACAACTACCCAAAATCATTTAGAAAAATTCTTTAATCACATGATTTTTGTCTTGTATTTTGCATAATTTCTTAACCTGATCAAATCCTAAATCTAAAGACGTGATGGTTATTAGTAACAAATATGATTTTTACTACTGTAAAAATTCTTATAAAAATAGAAAATGTAAAGATGTGACACATATGATAAATAATGTTATATTATGTAATTAAAGAATTTTTCTGAATGCTCTTGAAAAACATTCTTAATCTAAGGTAAGGTATAGACCCTTATCTTAAACTAGGATATACAATTAAGATTTAATAAGTTTTATTAGTCTAATTCATTTGTTAGTCTAGAGCATAAGTAAAGGATAATTAAATACTATACAACTTAATAAATTTATCAATTTGTCTGCCTGCTTGTTATTTGAGTTAATACAATTTATTTACTACATTTGTCTGTTATATAAGTGATAGTATACCTTTTTGCTGATTGATTAAAACACCAGTGTAATATATCTTAGAATTTTCACAATATTTTTAAAGAAAAATAAAATAAAAAAATACTTAACTTAAATTAAATTTTGTAGTATTTAATGTAATGTTAAAAGAAAAGTGTGAAGAAAAATATTTTTTGCAATATTTTTTTATTTTAGAAGATTTATTATTAAATAAATATATAATTCATTATTTTTGTAAAAAATGATTATTTATTGAGCAAAACAACTTAAATACATAATTTACATTTGATTATATCTTTTATTATTAGAGTATAACAGCTATATAAATAACAATAAAGCAGTAGCTATAATAATAGACTATCTTAATAATACAGTATATTAATATTTATTTCTTCTTCACAATTTTCAATAAAAAATATTCTGCCATATTTTATATTTAAAAATTGGTTCAACCACAGAATAAAAATAAATTAAATAAAAAAAAAGAAAAAACAAACGAAATTTATAGCAAAGGGAATAGTAGTAAATGAAGTGCGCTGTAAACAAAAAAAAAAATAATCTCTTATTTTATATATCAAATCTTATCATACACCCCGGTCTAGGATAAAGGTCTACACCTCCACCTTAGGGTAATTGAAAACAACAACTACCCCAAGAGCACCCAGAAAAATTCTTCGATCATGTGATATTTGACCCGCATTTTGCATAATCCATAAACCCTGGCCTAACCCTAAATCTAAGGATGTGATATTTATTGCGTAACGAATATGATTTTCGCTATTGTAAAAATTCGTCCCTAAAATAACTTATGAAAATGGAAAACGCGAAGGGTGATAAACAATTTTGGATCACATGATCGAAGAATTTTTCTGGGTGCTCTAACCACGTGTTATACTCAAATCCACACTCATTTTCGTATCACGTGTAAAAATAGCATAAATAGTTATTTGATTTTTATTAATCTATTTAAAAATGGATTTGAATTCATTATTTAATGTTAAAGATAAAATTGTATTGATTACAGGAGGATCCAGAGGGTAATTTATTAAATATAAATTGATTGTTTTTCATTTAAATTTCTAATTTCTTTTAAAATAGGATCGGACTTATGATAGCAACAGGATTTATAGCTAATGGGGCAAAAGTTTATATTTCTTCAAGAAGCATGGATACTTGTGATAAGGTTGCTAAAGAATTATCTGATAAAGGTAAAGTTTTAATAAGATTGAATAAATTATTGAAAGTTACATGTTAATTCTTTGAAATTTGTATCAGGTCCAGGAAAAGCTGTTAGTATACCGGCAAATTTACAACATTTAAATGAAGTCAAACGATTAGCTAATGAAATTAAAAAACGTGAAGGAAGTAAGTTCGATGATTTTTATTACGATACAAATAGAAATTTAATTTATATAAAATAAATATTAATTTAAATAGAGCTACACATATTAATTAATAATGCTGGTGCGTTTGGGATTGCTCCTATTGCTTCTTATCCAGACGAGACATTTGAGGTTATTATTAGTTATAAATATCTCTAAAATAAAGATAATTTATAGCTAATATTTACTATTATATTATTAAATAATAGGAAATTATGAATTTGAACGTTAAAAGAATATTTAGTTTAACACAATCGTAAGTTGTTTATATATTTATATATGTATATATATTTTTTTTTGATATTTTCTAAAAAAATATGTATGTGTATATCTTTTTCTATTTAGATGTTTACCATTACTTGAGAAAGCTGCATCACCAAAAGATCCGGCAAGGGTAATTAATATTGGATCAATTGCCGGTTTGGCAATACCATTCAAAGAAGGATATGCATATTCAACTTCCAAAGCAGCTTTACATCATTTAACAAAAGTAATGGCGGGACAATTATCAAATCGTCAAATTACATTTAATAATATTGCACCTGGACCTTATCTATCAAAAATGTCGGCTAAAACATTGAACGATCATGGCGAAATAATTAGATTAGAAGTGCCTTTAGGTAGAATTGGAGCAGCTGAAGATATTGCCGGTACCGCGATTTATTTATCTAGTAAGGCTGGCGCTTTTACTAATGGTGCTACTATTACAGTTGATGGCGGTATGATTACTAGACCCTATAGTTCCAAATTATAATTTAAACCTTTTTTAAACCAAAAAATGATCAATAAAAATATTTAAAGTTCAATTCTACCAGGATAAAGAGGTGATAGGGAAATGAATCATCATTTTGTTTCGCTTGGGTCATCCGTTGACAAAAAACATATTTAGAAACTTTTCCAATACTACAAGTTGCCAAAGTATCAATGATAAATGTAACCAATTCACCCCAAAGAGGCATTAATGACGCGAAATTAACCAATCCTTTGCCTCCAACTTCTTTACTAAGTAATTTCATTGCAACATGTTTATTTATAGATCTTAAAGCATGTCGGGAAATTGATCTTTACGCATGATTATCATTGCTAATTCCTTCGCTATTCCTGCAATTGAGCTTTCAACTCGATCTGAGCGATACACCAATTAATTAATGTCCGGACTGCATTTCTAATGAAGCAATTGATTTCACCTTATGTAATGTGAATTGATATCAAGACGTCGGTCTTAATCCCTAGAGACAAGTATAATAACTGCTGATGATAATCTGGATGATAATGAATTATAAAATATAGATATCTATGAAACCTTGTATTTGTTGTTGAACAAACTTTTGTAAAATATAATTGTCCCAATTTGAACAAATCTTATAGCAATGAACTCATAAATTGGCACATTAGTTCTTCTGTCCTAAAAATAAGAAACTTCACCATTCGAATCATAAATGTTATTTAAAATTAATAATATTTTCTCTATTTCTATTTGTTTATCTGCTGTTGTATAGAATTGTGACTGTTCCTCTAATTTGAAAAAGAGATTTGTGAAATTTTTTTCATATCTCATGGAAATTTATTGCGTGGCAATCTTTTTATATATTAATCACATTTAAATATATTCATATACAGTATTCAAATTATAATTATTAAATCAAGCTATTCGGTAAATATTTAACTACCTTATTATTAATTTTTATTAAGATTTATAAATTTATACATTTTTTTTTATATCTGTATTAATCCATAAATTTTTTTTTCTTCAATAATACTCAAGATGTAATTTAGGTATAAAATAAAATATAAATGATAGAGATAAGTATAAATTAAAAGACTTAATTGATTTATACTTTTAATCTAACTAATATTAAACACAACTTGAAACATGTGGATTATACACTTCAAATAAAATTTATTATATAGAAAATTTTTAGATAAGTGTTTTTCTTTGTCTAAAAGATTGTATATTATTAAAAAAATTAAAGTTAAATATGATATATCTTTAAAGATTTATTAATTGTAATCTTAATTAGAAAAGTAAAATCAATTCTTTTAAAAAATTATTAAATTTTCTTAAGAATATTTGATGATATAATATAATAAATAATAATAAAAATAAAAATAAAGATGATTGATAAAATGAAGATGTTATAATTAATAAAGTAAAAAAAAAATAAAGAAAATAAAGATAATAAATAAAAAGAAGAATAATAATAATAAATTTAATATTAATAATAATAAATATATTATAGATTTTTTTGATAAATAATTAAATATAAAAAAATTAATAATTAAAAAAAAGAATAATAAATTTATAAATTTAAATAAAAAAACTTTAATATAGTTTAATTTATCAAAATAATCAAAAAATATTATTAGATATTAAAATATTATTAATAAAATATTTGATTCAAATTTAAGTTTAATTATATTAGCAATTAAAAATAATAATAAATTAGATAAATTAAAATTTTATTATTTTTGATAAATTTGAATATATTATAGATCAAAATAATCAAATATTAATATATTTAGAAAAGATTAATAATATAATACTATTTTTCAAGTTATAAACTATTATTAATAAATATATTTTTATATTTTAAATAATCTATTATATAAAAATAAATTTTTTGGATAAATTTTTCAAAGTTTATAAATTATATAATCTATTTTCTTATATTAATAAAGATATAGCAAAAATATATAATAAAAATTATTTAAAATAAATTTTTATTTAATTAGCAGAGAAATACTTACAAAAAATTTACAATTAGATTTTTATTTATTTATACTAGAAAATAGTATTTATATTATTATTAAATATGTTAAATAATAATTTGTTAATTAACTAATAGTATAGATTATGATTATATTTTTATTTAAACATATAATAATATAAGTAAATTCTAATCAAATTATTTAAAAATTATAAATAATATTTAATTTTTTTATATAAATAAATTAAAAAAGATTTATAATAAATGAATAAGTAAATTTGTTTATAAATTTTACAATTTAAAGATAAATATTAATTCAATAATATAATTTTTTTTTGATTATTTAAATATATAAACATTATTTGTAAATAAATATAAAATCTAACAAATTATTTAACAGATTTATTATCAATAGCTAAAGTATTTATCAGAGTTTATGAACTTAAAAAATTCTTTAATTTTACAGATATTTAAAATTCTTAAATTAACTCTACATTTATATGCTTTTAGAATTAAAAATTATTTAATCAAATTTAATAACAAACTAAAAATAAGTTAGTATAATATATCATAATCAAATTTTAGATAAAGGACAATATTGAAAGGAAAAGTATTTGTATAAGTTTTAATTAATTCTTTTATTTTTTTTTAAAAATTTGCAAAAGAGTTAATTTACAACTTAAACAAAAGTTATTTTATTATAAAAATCAAATTATGTACTTTGTTATGCTATAAACTAGTTAAATTTATAAACTTCAAATAACATAATAATAAAATAAAAGAAATAAAATATAGATATAAATATAATAAAAATAATAAAAAATATTAAAGACAATAAAGAAAGAAAATTAACTATTATAATAAGAGTAATAAATAACTATAGTTTCTAAAGAATCAGGTAAATCTATAGGTTAAATAACTAATATCTTGATCGAGCAAAATTTTCCCATTTTGGTAAATTTGATCCAATTGATTAGTCGATCATTTCCTTAAGTATCTTCCACTTTAGTGGATCTAAGAATTAGATAATCAGAAGAAATTATTTTTAAAACTTCCTGAAGCAATGGTTTCAAAATTTCAGATTGAATCTTTATGTCAGCTTTCTCAAATAAACATGACTATAATTAAAAGATCCTAAAATCTTTAAGCTTCGATTTAAGTGATACAAAATAAGACTAACCGACATCTTTTAAAAAGATGCGCATTTTTTTTTGAAAGCACGAGAAAAAAAAAAAATGCTTTTTCCCTCCAAAGAAGTAGTTAGAAAGGTTTACTTTTTTATTTCCGAAATGTGAAAAATCAAGGCAAGATTATTTGGCTTCTTTCGAACAATTTCGTAAGAAAAATTCAAGTTTTTCGTCATATGATCTTTCAAGACAAATTTTAATTCCAGAATGACAAATGATTTCTCTCGAACGATGATGAACATTTAAATAATTGTTTTTTCACATTATTTGAACGTTCTTCGTATATCTAAATATTTACTCAAATAAACTAAATTTTAGTGAATCAAAAAAATAAAATTCGGTTCATGATTATTATTCTAATGATTTAAATCTCGCGATATATCATAACAATACTTTTTACTATTGATTGTATTTCTTTTATCTTACGAATTTTTTGATTAGTAAAAAAGGGAGAGTAAATTTTCATGTCATGTGTTTTCAATATGGTTTGAAAAAATAATTACTACGTACGCTCAGCACATTATTTGCGTTAAACATATTATCATTGTCATTGTTCACAAAGATTCTCAATATAAATAATCAAAACTTTATTCATCAATTGGTATTCAATACACAAAAATAATAAAAAATAAAAAAATACATAATAATAAGAAAAGAAAATCGCTAAATTTTGGAGTAATTTGATATAAAATGGTATTCCTAATGAACCTGCCAAAATACCCAATAGGAGTAGATTGTCTAAGTGCGGCCTTTCTAGATTTTAATACGTCAGCTGACGACCTTATTCGCATTTCATTTTCATATTTTTGTATACAAGGAATCAAATCTTCCGACGAACCATTCAATAGTGCTTGAGAGAGAATATCAGCATCTTGAAAAGCATTGTTAGTCCCTAGCCCAAATATGGGATTCATAGCGTGAGCTGCATCCCCTAATAATGTTACTCGATTACTCGTCCAAGTATTAATAGATAATGGATCGATATCACGCATTTCTCTTCGTTGTATAGGAAGATAAGTCTTGAATGGAAAATTTTCTTTTTCTGAATCAGTTTTAGGAGCCAAATCCCATAATCCTAGTAGAACGTCAGTCATTTCACTTTCTGGCCTTAATTTTCGAATTATTTCTTTGACATGCTCAATAACTGATGCAGGATCATTATCATCAACCTTGACGTTATCGGACTCATCTAATCGTTTGGGATACATGTAAGCTAACGTTAATCTGTAATGAAGTTCATCTGAATCGTTTTTATTCGTGTCATCTGATTCTTGTTCAATTGGGATTAATCGAAATAAAGTAAATGTCCAATCGCCCTTTAAACCAAGGGTTTCCTGGATTAAACTGTTACCATTGACTTTAATTAATCTGTCCATAAGACGTTTTGGTACAGGAATATTTGCATTAACTGTAGTTACTCCATAATTGAAAGTTTGCAATTCAGGTAATTTCTGTTTTCGAACTAAAAAGGAAGAAATCTTGTCAGTTAAAATAGAATGTTAATATGCATCCTTCAAAAGTGGGATAATTATAATTACCTGGAGAATTAATCCCGTCTGCGCCAACCAAGATGTCACAGAATTCTCGTGAACCATCTTCAAATTTTACCCATATACCCTCTTTAGTTTCTTCGTACCCAATACATTTTTTACCCCATCGAACCGGTACACCTTCTATTAATACATCTCTAAGCCTATCACGATAAGAAATGATTGCGATATTATCGGTGGCTTTTTCGATTTCGAAAAGTTCTTTAAGTTGTTTAAGTGGTGGTCGAAATAAAATACTTCCATTTTCATCGCTGATCGAGATCCCGTGGAATTCTACATCAGGTATCGGATTTGGGATCGCTTTGGGAAGGTTTAAAGCGATTGAGGATGGTATGCAATTTAAAAGAGATACAATTCCAGGAGCATTCAAACTAATATGATACCCTTGCCATCGATCTATTTTTACATGAGATAAAATTCGAGTTATTTACAAGTTCGTTACATGATACGGATAGATTTTTCTTATACCTTCTGGTCCAGAGTCCCGTTCGAAGATTTTTACATCGAATTCTTTCTTTTCTTTGTTATTTATTAAAGCATGATAAAGACTAAGTCCTCCTGGACCTGCACCGATAATAATAACTTTTGGAATTTTTGCGTGTTGCATTTTTTTTTTTTAAAAAAAAAAAAGGATTGTTAAAAATGATAAAAAAAACACGTTTGATTTCTTGACGAATTAAAGGACGAAAGGATATTCGAGGATCTTTATAATAAAAAAAACAATGATACGCTTCGGAGATGAACTATTGTCGAAAGACTACTCTTCTGATAATTAATGGTTTATTAGCCAAACCTTAACCTTTTATGGAAAATTATTTCATCGGAGCGAAATTTACCATTGACAAATGATTTTACTTTTTAAGTATATTTATAAGGAAAAAAAATTGGCGAAGTTAAATAGAAGTTGGTACCAAAATCATTGGTTTCCCTTTTACAGGTAAATAACCCCCCCCCCGAAAAATAATGACAAATGACAAATGACAAATCTCTAAACAGTTTCATCTTGAACAAAATATCAAATGCACTCATTTTCCTTAAATTTAAAAATAAAACAAATATTGAAGAATTGATCCTAGGAATGTTCGATGACCACAAAATAAACGTTTAAATGCATATAGCCGAATTGCTTGGTCTTTAATCCTTTATATCGGAAGTAGATCGTCGGCACGCGTATAATATTTTTAAATAAAAATTCTTTTAAATTAAATAAATGTGTAATAAGTATTTATAGTTTTTTTGGTACATAACACTTATAATTATTAATCTTTTAAAATTTTAATTAAATCAATTTATAAATTTTTTTTATATCACTTCAGTAGGGTGAAAAGGAGTTTTATGTAAATAAACATATTTAAAAAGCACTCAAATCATTATAAATTTAAGATTTTTTTAAACATTTTCGGTTAAGTTTTTACTATATAATATTTATATCTCCTTTACTCCTAACGCCAAATGCTAAATTAATATCATATACTAAAGTTTTTTTATTTTATTTAGAATTGATTTTAAAATATCAAAATATATAACTTACCTTTAAAAGTCAGAAATTATGAAAAATATAAAAGTGTCTAAAATACCTAGGAATGTTATTTAAGAGATTACCAATTCTAGAGAAGTCTAATCACTTGTCTATAATAAGTAACCCCACTCAAAAAAATGTCGTATAAATTTTATAATTAATCCCCTGTCGCACTAAGTGTCACTCATGATTATCTTCATACTAATTTTTTACTTATTTCCCGATCTCAAATAGACAGTGGGAAATCACTAATTTTATAAATATAATTTCTAATAAAAAATATTAATCGCATTTAAAAGTGGGAGGGTTTCTAGAAAAATCAGGTTCCGAGAAATTTTTGACTTAAATTAAGAGCTTAATACATTTTAATCTAAAAAATTCCCGGAACCTGATTTTCCTAGCAATCAACCCAAGTGATATTAATATTAATATTACTACAATTTTCTACAGAAATCTTTGGAATTTTTGATTTTTGACATGTTAAATCATCATCTGACTCATTTTTTTAACAAAATTAGTATTATCATATCGTTTTAATTAGATCAGATGCTTTAGAAAATCCTAAAAAAATTATAGTTAGTTTTAACAATAAAATTAATAATTTCAATAAATGTTTGTTTACATACTGAATTGATTTATATAATTAGTTGAATCTTTTAATGCCACATCTTTAATAGGAATTAGAAGAGAGCATTATCTCGTTTACGCTTGATAGATTGATGCTGATAGGCGGATACTCCTGCAATTATTTTGTCTTAAAAAATTCATCTGCTCATCAAATGTGATACCAGATTTAACAAGATTGTAAATACCTGTTGATCTCATTAATGATTAATAAAGTTATGGTCTTTAAAAGCTAAATCAGAATTAGAATATATACTACACATCATCGTATCATGTAATCCTTTTCCTAACTTTGTTGTTAAATACCAATTACCATTATATATATTTTTTAGTATATTGATTAATATAAAGAAATAATCATTCTCAAAATTATTAGGACATTTATTTAAGAATTTTTGGATATCTGCAATAGGAGTATAAATGTTTTCTAAAGTATCAGGTGGTATAAAACTTGTACTAAATGCTACATATAGATCTTTAATTTCTTCTGCATGATTTTTTCCTTAGGTAATTCAAGCTTTATTCTACCATCACCTATTTCAATAATCTAAGAAACTTTTAATCGTTTAGTATCACTACTTCTTAAATAGTATGATAAAGTTAACCAGATTCAAATCCTTCATAAAATGCCTTTAAAAGTATCTGTTTTAGTGACAGGTAAGTTAAGTATAAATTTAATTTTATCAATTTCTAATGGATCTGATTGTTTTTAATTATTTTGTTCTTGATTAGCAATTGATTTCATAAAGTTTTATGTAAATTTTTAAATTGAGAAGTATCAAATAAGTTTACAACTCTAATTTTCTCAAATATTTCAGAAATTCCTCTTATCATGATTTTTTTTTCTTTAAAAAAAAAATTATAATATTTCTAACCTACTATAAAATAATAATATTAATTTATAAAAAGCAAAAATGATATTCAAAATTAGCAATTTTGATGGGACTGCTAAGTATAGGATTGGTTCTTGAAATCTAATCTTAAATCCTAAAATTTTAAATTTTAAGAAATTCTGAGATTCTAAAGGGTTTATTATATATTTTTATTTAGCAGCTCATTAAAATATTATAATAGATAAGTTTCATAATAAATTTGTAAATATAATTCTTTATAATCTTTTGGGACTTTAGGATTACATAAGATTACTTAAAATTTCTAAAAATATCTTTAAAATTATTATGCAAGTTTAATTTTTATATTATATATTTTTATAATATTTTAAAGCAATTTTTTATACAAAATTTTGATACCTAAAATAAAAAAATTTATATTTAAATATCCTTTCTAGATATTAAATTTATTTTAAATTTAATATAATATTTAAATCTTTAATTTTGCTATTTTTTACTAAAGTTTTAATATAATTTTATCATTTAATATAAGTTATTTTTTTTTAAGTTTACCAAATCTTAATAAGATTTGATATAATTTTGCTAAATTTTATTTTTAAGTTTTATTGAATAATCTTAATTAAAGTTCTAAACAAGTCAGATCAAATTAGATCAATTAAATTACCTAATCAAAAAGGATTAGATTAGGCTAAATAAAAATCTAATTTATTTTAAACTAATATAATTTGATTTGACTATTCTTTTTAAATAATTTATTATTATTTAATAAAATAATTTATCTTATTCAATTAAAGTAATATATTTTCATTTTCTTAAATGATTAATTTATTTAAATTTTATTAGATCAGGTTAAATTTAGGTAATAGAATAATCTGATTTAATATTTATCTGAAAATCTATTAATTTAATCTGAAATTTCAAATTAAATCAGTTAAGATAACAGAGTAATAAACTTAATTAAAGCTTTAATTTAATTAATAAATATAAAATTTTTATATAAATTGATATTTTTTATATATAAATCTTACTATTTTAAACTAATATCTTTTTAAATTTAGATTAATTTTATTAATATTAAATCAAAATTGGTTTTAATTTTTTAAATTTTATTAAAAAATAAACTAAAAGATATTATAATATTTTTTTTTTTATTTTTAAATATAAATAATTAATTAATAATTATTTTAATATATATTTAAAATTATTTTTTATTTTTAAAATACTATTTTTAAATTATTTCTTTATTATTATAATATTTATATAAAATTAATCAAAATTAAAATTTTTATTATTAAGTTTATCTTAAACTAAAAATT